ATGCTGAAGCTTCTGACCTATTTTGTGGCATCTATGTACCGTCGTAGTCGGGGATTTGATTATGCTGAACTTAGATTCAGTATTAAGGGAGTTTTAACACTTTTATGGAGGATCTGCTGATGGTCCCCAGTTAGGGTCACTATTTTGTCTCCTTGTTCCTGACGCTGTGCCGGTGCTTATTAGATTATTGCTGTTGGCAAATGATTCGTCATTTTGTTCAAGCAAGCTGTTTTGATTGCCTGGTTGGTCAAGAAGATTATTTGAGGACTAGTGTCAGTCATCTTATAAGTCTAAGTCTCGTCTCGTCTTACTGAGACATAACGAACAACTTTGAGCACATACACACATAAGAACATAAGAACATAAGAACGAAGGAACACTGCAGAAGGCCTACTGGCCCATGCGAGGCAGGTCCAAGTCTCCTACCGGCTTTAAGCCAAAGCACCCAACCTAGTCAGGTCAGGTCACATTGACTTAAGGGAGGAACACGGCAACCGACCTGGTTAGCACAAGCTATCAGGTCTAACTCACACCCACCCACATCTACTCATGTATTTATCCAACCTATTTTTAAAGCTACACAACGTTCTGGCCTCTATAACGGTACTTGGGAGTTTGTTCCACTCATCCACAACTCTATATACCAAACCAGTACTTTCCTATATCCTTCCTGAATCTGAATTTTTCCAACTTAAAACCATTGCTGCGAGTCCTGTCTAGGCTAGATATTTTCAGCACACTATTTACATCCCCTTTATTTATTCCTGTCTTCCATTTATACACCTCAATCATGTCCCCCCTAATTCTACGCATGTATTGCTAGTATTATTTTTTATATAAATGATGATAACGTACCAGACGGTACTTAGAGAGTCGTACTGTTTAGGAATGTGCCTCAGCACTATACTATTATATGTACAATTTACTTATGCACTGCAAGAGAAGCGTGGGAGTTTACTATATCCTAAATTATATCGAATTCATTTACTTTGATTTCGTCCACCTAGACAACTTTGTTAATCAACTTCTCAATTTTTATTTCGCAGTTGCAATTCTAAAGCATTATTAAAATTTATTATAATTTTAAAGGATAACTGGACCAGAATACTTCCTGAAACCTGTTACAAAAACCAGAAACATGCTAAATGGTGGAGGGAGGAAAACCTTTTTGTATTCTCTGGAGATGTCTATCCTCATAAATATCGCCTTGTTGAACATCTAGTGATTTACATTGGGG